AATTACCAATTTATAAAGAAACTGGAAAAAATTTTTTTCTATTCAGATTTATAAACATTTATTAAAAATCAAAAGTGTGAATCAACTGTAAGTAAATCCTTATTTACCATTTCATAAAGTTTGAATCAACTGGCAAAAGCAGAGGTTTTGACAACCATTCCAACAATACAATCATTTAAATAAAAATGAATGTTTATTTTTTATTGTTAATTCTCAATAACAAAGAATTCACTTTATATGTTTCGATTTTAGTACAATTCAAACGACATTTTATATAAACATTGCCAAAGAGTGAAGGTAGTTAAAATAATAGCCATATCAATAAAAAATAAATATAAAAAAAAAAAAAAAAAAAAAAGTCTTTTGACACACTGGGGCTTTTTCTTTTTTGTGCACACAAAAGTCCATGTTTGCCAGAAAAGAAAAGAAACTGGGGAGAATTGATAAAGACTTAATGAATTGATACAACTTATTGATCACCTTCACTTCACTTTATTTCAGTTAAGCTTTTGATTTGCGCGCGAATAAATTGTCTCCATATCAATGTACTTGACCCAGACTGCTATATCACTCAGTCGGGTGAAGATGATTACATTCAAAAGTAGTAAGAGACAAATAAATCTTTTAATGTGCACACACAAGAACAAAAAAATTATTTTTAATAACATTACAATTGTTTTTTCATTTGCTAATGAAATTAGGAGATTCAGGTGCACGATAAATTATTATTACATATCCATTCCTCGTCCACTACCCACTCAAAATGATTTTGAAACAGTTTAATTATACGAACACCAAACTTTACATATTTTTTTAATGTCTAAATAGAAATAAAAAAAAGACAAATTTAAAATTTATATAAAAAAAATGAAAATTTGAAGAAATCGGCGTTGCAAAAACGTTATGTAATAAAAATTGAAAAAAAAAAAAAAAAAAAAAAAAAGTTTCCATTCTGCGATTGTGAATAATTGTTTCTATTCTATTTGTGGATTTTTCAGGTATTCTTTTGGCTAAAATTGTTAAGAATTGTAAAGTAAACCAAAGACAGCGAGATTTTTTGGGAGGCGGTGGGGGGGGTCTCATGTCTTCATAGCCTCAGGAACTTAATTTAATCTTTTTCCACGTGGTGTTTTGCAAGTCAGTAGTTTTTTGTTTGTTTTTGTTTTTTTAAATTTTATACACCTAAGACAAGTGTTTAAAATTAAAAGTATGTAACCTAAAAACTAGGTCATTATTTTTTAAATTAATAGTTGTTAACGCTAGCATTCTTACGGCAAAACATTTTTAAAAACTAAGTGACTATGGAAATTCGCATCTTTCGGAGTTGGAAAATCCAATTCAGACACATCCAAAATTAAACGAAACAAATCGAAAACAACTCAAGTGTCCAAAATGCAGTTACTTCGACTATTTCTTCAGTAGAGACTGTAGACATAATCAAATAAAACACATGGATGGGAAGATTACACTGACTAACATATACGAATTTCATGATGTGATTGAGCGTATATTTTATCAGTGTTTTTCTTTGTTGATTAAATAAAATAAAAATTTCTACTTAAGGAAAGAAAACCAAAATGGCACGAACCATGAATGATTTATTCATAGGATGGAAATCATATTACCGAGCCATATGATTTCTACTTTACAGAACACAGGTGTTAGAATATGAAATTTAGTTTAAAAAAAAAAAAAAAAAATTGGAAATGTAAGGGAGCGAAATCAGTTCAAATGTGCAATTCGAGTCCCACGGGGAAAATCTTGACACGTGGGAATTTAACAAGACAGGTAGAAAAGACTAATGCTAATTTACTAACTATCCACGGTTAAAAAAAATAAAATAAAATAATAAATAAAATAGCAGGTCACGTAAAACTGAAGTAGATTTTTAATTTCTATATTTCATTTATTTTAAAATAAGTTTTTTTAATTTCTCAAAGTTTTTATGTGTTTTGTAACCAAGTATAAACTTTTTTAGGGAAGCAAAGTCACCAGAAGAAAAAAAAAAATCTTAGATTTTTCATTTTAACTTTCCTTTTGATTTTGTGGTCAAGAGAATCAACAACTGTTTCCATTGTTTAAGAAATCGAAATGCATATGCCATGGAAATTCAAACAATTTAGATTAGAAATATATTGAAAAATAAAAAAATGTTTTTAGCATTCTTTCGGCATTGAGAAAAAAAAAAAAAAAAAGCAGAAGTGGATTCCTGAGTGAAGAAAGATTTTTTTTTTAAGCTAGTATTTTACTTTTTTTATTATTTTTTTAAAGCACAAAAAGGTCGTATTTTTAATTTAATTAACAATAAGTATTGGGGGGGGGGCACCAAATGAGAGCCAAACTCGCTTTTCCGAAAGAAATGCTCGAACGTCTCGCTTGCACATTATGATTTATAACGAATATTTTAGGCGATCTTTAGTCTATAAAACGAAAATAAATCACAATGTTTTCTTCTTTATGAAGACAATCAGTTCTTCAATTTTAGGGGGGGGTGCTTTTTCGTCACGTGATCAACAGCGTAAATTATACTGAAAGAAAGAAGAAAAAAAACTGTCTGCTTTTCAAAAGGTAGTCTAGTCTGCATCACCGCAGCGGGAGTAATTATTAGCTAGCTAATACTGCGAAATGTGTTCGATCCTCACTGGGTACCCATACTTGTGGGTGGGTTTTGTGCCTGGATAAGGCAAGAAGCTTTTCATCAATATTAGAGGCGGGAAACTACACAACAGTTTATCCACATTCATTAAAGAAAATCGTCACATCAAAAACTAATTTTATTACGCTTCGGCTTACTGGAATTAGGAACTTTAATGAATTTGGACCAAGTTACTTGCTACTTAGAGCTTTTATAAAAATTAAAATCACTAGTTAGTACAATGAACAAAAATTGAATTGTGACGTTTCCATCGGCAATTAATTCTTGTGTTGTGAGGCTTCTGAGGAAATATGAACTTTTTCCGAAATTGCAAAAGCAGAAACATTTGGCTGCTACTAGAGAAGCAGTCATATTGTAAATTACAAACTTTCATTGAATTATAAAAAGTTTATTCAACTATGCAAATGTTTAATTTCGATATCTAACCATGGAAAACGTGTTCCATCATTTCTACATTCCAGGTACCTCATCTACACACGTTTGACGAAGATGTGAATCACATCCCGTAACCAATATACCTTCCTTATTCTTTCCTATTTATTAAACATTTGCTGGAAAGACTCTAGCCTTTTTTTATTTTTTACTTGCATATGAAATTATTCATTCAACATCCAGACGTTTCTCTTCAAATCGGGTGGATTTTTTTTTTTTTTTTTTTTATTACTCTGTGTTAGTAACATTTTTTTTTTAACCAAATCTCTGCTAGAAAAGATAATTCCATCCTCTGATCACCCATGTCAGTACTGTACTGTAGCACAATGACTGAACTTTGTTAGTATTTAAGAATTTAACTTTTTTGGTTTGAAGAAGTCCGTAAAATTACAGATAATGCCCCAGTCACAAATTTAAAAAAAACTATAAAATTCCCAGTATAAAAATCACATGAAAAATTGGGGAAACCTACAGTAGGTAAGAGATATTGACAATCTCAGTTGGCTCCCGTTTACTGCGTGAAAATTTACCAGTAAGTTTTCCCTAGAATGCACAGAAACCAATTAACTGGGACCCAACAAAGATTGCCAATATCTCCTAACGGTAGATTTACGCCAATTTTTAATGCGATTCTTCAATCAGGATATTTTACAGCTGGAATATATACATTTTTTTTAATTTGTGACTGGTGCATTATCTGCAATTTTACCGAAAAAAAAAAAATAGACGGACCCATTTTTTTTTATTGCCACAAAGAAAAAAAAAAATTCAAACAATTGGCTCCATGCCAGACTCTTTCAATTTTTTGCATCTTGAACTTTAAAATAAGTTTTTAAAATATACTGCAATAATTTAGATATTTTAAAGATGACTTGTTAGGATTTTCTAAAATTGAGTAAGAGGTTGGGGGGGAGGGGGGTACTAATTGTTTTGTTTTTTTAGTTCAATTATTTAATTAAAAAATAATTCTTTCGAAACACACTTCCTGCAATCTTCATAAATGAATAAATACTCAAGGAAAAGTTTATTGAAATCCGATAATTACTTGAATGAATCTTTTTAAAACTGTTTATCGCCTAAAACCTCGTGCAAAAATTAAGTCACAGCTGCTGTGTAAAAAGAAAAGTAACTAAGTTTACTTACTACATATCTATTCTTCTACATGGGTCACAAATAAATTTTTCATAAAAAATTATACGAAGAATTAACTTTAAATGTTTAATTTAAAAATAAATTCGATATTTTTTGTCAAAAATGTGTAGCAGTAGGTGGAATGCCGCACAAGTCTTCATGACCAAATACCATGAAATTTAATATTTATTTAATCTGGGTGAACGAATTTTTTAAAATCTTTTTAATTCGGACAACTTTTAACAGCAGCAGAAAAATTACGTCTTCTGGTTCCTTAAAGAAAGAAATGTCTTACAATATGAATAAGTGTTTTCATTTTCAAAGATTACACGTGAAATATAAATATTTTAACAAAATGTTACAATTAAACGGAAATCCTGATTTAAAAATAAATCATAAAATTTAAAAGTTTAAAAATCCAGCGTTTTTTAAAGCACGAAACTTTTACTTTGTACTGTTTGGACTTAAAAAGTTTAAACTTAAAATATGTTTAACAAAATTAAAAACAAAAAGAATTTTTTTTTTTTTTTTTTTACCTGTACAAAATTAAGTAAACTACGTAACTTATTAGAAAATTTGTTTTATTTTAAATTTCAGAATTTAAGATTTCACTACAAAAGTAACGAGAACAAAACAATCCGAAGCTTAAAGAAAAAACACCGGTAAACTTAAATGGGGGTCCAAAAAACAACTGTCAATTATAAATAAACCAATCCCCCACTTATTCATAATCAAAGTAATGCTTTTTCAAGAACTTATCTACTTTCTTTTAGTTACTTACCATTAAAATCGCCCGTATCAGCCACAACTACGGTGATATCTTTCAGTTGGTCCAAGACAGATTTCGAGCATTTTTTAATATCAGGTTCAGCCATAGTAAATTATATTCTTTAAAACAATATCCAAAGCAATTCAACTGTCTGATGTTCTTTACTGTGAGGGCGAGTCACGAGAATTTAATGAGCAATTCGAGGGAGATCATAAAAAAAGAAACCAAGAGAAAAACTTCACTGTCATCCAAAGCAGAAACCCGCCAACTGGTGGTGACCTTGCTTATTGCGGCCTTGACCTTCGTCCTTAAAGGCCCACACCTCCACGCTCATAAATAAATAATATATTATGACAATGACTCAACATTTTTATATCTGAATTCTATTTTTTTTTTTTCTTCGTAAATTTTCCTGTCTCTAATAAAAGCAGATAATAATAATGATTCAACGAGGCTTTTTTTTTCTTCAACAGGATATCAACGAGAAAATACAGAAACTTCCTTCTTGTTGACGTTGTAAAGGCGGAGCGTGTTTTTTTTATGTGTAATTATTTTTTATTTTTTACTCAATTTGGAATTTTTCCTCTCAGTATAAAGTAAACTAAATTATTTACGGTCCTTGGACAGGAACACTCGGTCAGTTAAAAAAAAAAGAAAATATTTCTAAAATAATAAATATCCAATAAAAAAAAAGTTAGATTGAAAAAAGAAAAAGTAAACTTTGTTTATCAACTGTTTCAAACTGGTTTTTATTTTATTTTCAGTTTTTTTTAACCGTGGAAACGCATTATTTTCTAAGTTTTAAAACTTGGTATGTTTAGTTTGTGTGTACAGTACTATTGTTGTTATTGTTTTTCTCGAAGTTAAATAAAAAAAATCATAGTAAAAAATGTTGCTAATAGCAACATTTTTTACTATGATTTTTTTTATTTAACTTTTTTTGTATGCTGAGTACTATTTAACTTTTTTTGTATGCTGAGTACTATCCACAATAATTGATAATTTGGGAGGTAAATTACGGGAACAAATCGTTTCTTTTTTTTTTTTTTTAATGAAAAGGAGACCATGAAAACGTAGGTATCCAGGTGGGGTAAAAATCCAAATACTTATGGGTTACACATAGCATACGGTGTAGTACTGTTCAAATTAAATGAAAGATTTTAGTTCAGAGTCATGTGAAAAAACGATCGGCGCTCGGTAGGTGAAAGGGGGTGAAAGAGGGCTTACCCCTCCCCAAACACACACGCGCACACACACTTTGTCACTGAAACAGTGAACTAAAAAGAGAAAAGACTAAAAAAATAAAAACCTGTCCTCTTAACCTCAATTCATGACAGTGTTATTCAGCTGAATTCTACCATTTGTTTAAATTCATTACCAGCCGTTGATTTACAAAATAAATCAGAAAATTTCATTTTCGTTTTTTAGTTATTTATTTATTGTTCCCAATTCATTAGCTTTTGGCTTTTAAAACTAGTCCTATATGTGGAATATGTCTACAGGACTCATTCTAGAAAATCACAAAAATAAGCTATAAAAAATTTACATAAAAAGAAATGATCTGAGGTGGAAATTAGTTGGAGTAAAGAAAAAATTAGACACTGGTTTGGAGAAATGACCAGAAATTTATTTTCATTTATAAGATATGAAAATGTCTCTGGTAAGTCATATAGTATAGTATTTGAATGTATGGCATACGAGGTGTGAAATGAGTGTGTGTACTTTAAAGAGAGTATGCATAAACCGGCTGACTGTTTTTTGACTATCGGTTTGAGCATTCTGCATTCACAGGAGGTCATTTTCACAGCCTAATGGTCAGACGGGCAGTCAGCCATACTCTCAGGTAGTCTCTACAGCGTGTTTGTGTGTGCAAATTGTGTTTTTCTGCTACAGAAATGTAAAAATTTATAATTATAATTAAAGGGTGAATGAAAAATAGACTAAGTTTGTTTATTACACTGTATCCAATAAAAATGAAATATATTAAGAAAAATAAAAACAATTCAAATTAAAATAAGGCATTTGCACTTTTAAAACCCTTATCTCTTTCTTTCTCTCTCTATCTCTCTCTCTCTCTCTCTCTCTCTCTCTCTAAACTTTTAATTTCTGTACATACTAACTAACAAGGAAGAACCCTCAAATAAAGAGGAGAAGAAAAAAAGACTGAACACTGCTGAAAATTGAGACTTTTGATGTTAGCTGAAACCAATGTTAGCGCCAGAGTCTTGGAGCTTTGTCAAAAGGATATAAGCTGACACCTCTGAGCTAGAAACAAGAACAGATGGCAAACATAGACGTGAACACCAGAGAAACCAGCCATATGTGATGTGTGAAGAAGTAATTAAGAGGTTATGCTAATGATATTTCTCTCCTGCTTAGGGTCAAGAAAAACACAGTAGATAGACGCTGACCTATTTCTAATACTACAACTACCCCTCACACGGTCTGACTTCAAAACTACATTACTGGACTTTCTCCAAGCTACTACCAATATCCACTTTGTAAACAAACATTTTGCTGTCAATTTTTCTGAGATGAACAGCATGTGGAACTAGAACAGTCTATCCCAGTGAGTGAAATAAAGGGTTCAGTTCGACATTCCAACTACCTGAAGAAGGTCGGAGCATACAATGGCCGAACTGTTGTAATAAATATGATGACATAGATGAGAACAATAGTCTGAATAATGTAAATAGACTACATGTTGCTTTGTCAAAAACCAAAGGACTCACTCATCAGTCTAAAATAAAAATATATATTTTCACCACAGTTCTCTTTATGTCCTATGTTTTGGAAAAACATCACCAAGAATATTTACAACATATCCACAACACTTTCTTTTGAAGAGAGAGTTTTACAAAACATTTATAATTAGAAATTACTAACACATATTCTTTCAATGAAAAAAAAAAACTGCTATAATGAAACTAAACAGTAGCAAAATAAAAAATGGCTTGGATAAAATTTGATATGTAAAACTTTATAAATGGTGTTCCAATAACTTGGACCGATTTTAAATATGAATTAATTTTAAGTGTCTAATGATTTTTTTCTTTTTCTTTCAGATTTAGCAGACATTTGGGCAATATTATTTTTCACACATAATTACCATGACTTAAATAACATGATCCAATAGAGAAATAAATAAATTTTCACCAATAACACTGATTTATTTACTGCTGGCTTTGATTTGTCTTAATGAAACACCCTTTATATGTGAGCATCAAAGTGATGTAAAAATACTGCCAAGATAAAACAGGATTGACAAAAAAAAACATTTTTTTTAAATCCCCCAAAGTAAAATCTAAAACAAGATCAGGAATTTACTGATGTCATAGAAAACAGATCCCAATGTATAAAATGAAGATATTTAAACAATCAATGTTGGTTTCAGTATATTCAAAAACCTCTTGAACTTTACGTTTCTTATCCTCTGGGTTAGGTCACCAGAGTTTTTAATGTGTGTTAAGATTTTTGCAATTGCTTTAGCTAGTTTTCAGGAGTACTGTTGATGCCAGACAGATCTGATGGGTATCTTGAGTTTGTATGTTTTGGGTAAGCTATATAATGTTTATGGTGCAATTATCAATTCTTGCCAAAATGTTAAATTACACCCTGAAATTTTTCAAATATCAACTTTCTTAAAGGAAATACCCCTTTCCCAAGTGAACATACATGACCATAAAGATTTTAAAAAATAAAAACAAAATGATGAAGTCAAGACTTTTAAATATATAAAATAAATAAATTAATACATAAATAATTAAACAAAATAAAATAGTAATTAATTTCATTTAAAATATAAATAAATAAAAATTCAACAACATTTACTCTTTTTTGTTTATTAGGCTATATATTACATCACTTGCTGTCTTCCATAGTTTACCTTTCCATACACAGCAAGCTTTAAGAATATTTTAGAGCATGCTGAAATTTAAAATTTGAAAACTTAATGATATTTTTTCCTCCACTTTACTTCTGTGTATAAATACAAGTTACAAAATAAAATCTCCACATTTACCTTGATAAGGTCCCTCAGGGGAAGGCAAAAATGTTTCATACCTGAAAACAATCTTGAAAATTGCGTTCAAACATGAAACAGTCTGTTGCCATTCAGTGTTGAACTCTGTGTTCACCCTGCTTATATTTATATATGCTCTATTCCAGATATTATTGAGCACTTTTATCCAATAATTCTTCTTCTTCTATGTGCTGCATCCCTTCAGGACATAGGCAGTTATGGCTCTCCACAATCTTCTATCTCATATGACTTTTAGCAGTTTTTCTCCCTATTCTAAGCCCCCAACTCTACCACCACCATTTTGACAGCCATTCACACAAGCTTGTCAGGTAGGGATTTTCTAAGCGTAGCTTAGATGTGGTAGAAGGCCGAAAGAAGGGGCACCCAGTGAGGATCAAACTCACCACTCAGTTGTAATTGTTCTAGCGAGACAAACTTGCTAACCATTAAACCACCTCAAGGTGCTCAACAAGATTATCAGGTAAGTGGTTCGCTGCATTGCCATATCTCTCTTGCCTTTAATATGCCTTATGAGTGTTAAGTATTCCAACCCTCCTTCCTCATTATGTGTCCAAAGACTTTCAGGTACCTTTTCCTGATTCTGAATGAAATACTGCTGCCATATTTGGTCTGGTGCCCCCGTTGTTCATCTTAAGGTCCTCGACAAAATCCAGAGACAGATATGCAATGTAATTGGCCCTGATCTGGCGTCTACAGTTGCTCTCTCACAGATGCGTCATCACCTCCCTCTGTCTTTTCTACAAATACTTTCATGGTAACTACTTCGACAAGCTACTTTCGATAGTTCCCAGACTGCATGAATTTAAACGTGCAACTAGGCTGGCATCTCAATCCCATCCTTTCACTGTCAAAACTGTTAAATGTAGCCGTATCTTCTACTCCAATAGCTTCAAGTCTTACACCTCTCATCTGTCAAACTCCCTCACCTTTTCTTGTTTCCCTGATAGCTATAAACTCCAACTATTCAAATCTAATGTCAATAGACATCTCCAGATACCTTGATCTATTCTCTGTCTTTCTCTTCATCCTTTCCTCTATCACGCCTCTTTACTCTCACTCCCACT